ATGATGGTGTTATTAATTGTAATGTATATGTTCCCTGCCTTTGACCTTTGTATAGGTATAATTTGTGCTTAATAGAGAATCTATTCCAATTTTTTCAACATTGAATTTTGATTTCAAGATTCGATTTCAACATTCAACATTCAAATGTTTAACATTCGATTTATATCATTGACCATTCAATTTTCAACATTCAACATTCGATTTCAATATTCAATATTCGTTTTGCGACATACAACATTCGTTTTTTTTTAGAATTCAATAGAGGTGAAAAATACCAAAGGGATGTTCAAACTCATAACTCGAAAACAAACTGATAATGCCATGGCAAAACACGAAAAACGACGAAAAGACAAATAACCTTACACAAGACACAAAATAGAAAACATAGAAAACTAAAGATAAAGCAACACCATACATACAAACTAGATAATACGTGCTGTTTGGAGGATTTTTGCCATTGTTACAGCTAAAGTAATCTATTCCTGTGGTCTAAAATCCTAAGTTTTTCCAAAAATTTCAAGTTTTGTTAACAGTTAATTTATAATTATGACCATATCAATGGTAATTCATGTCTTATGTATGAAATTGTGTTTCCTGTAGTTTCTAGTTTCTAGGGAGATTACATTGTAAAAACCAGCTGAACGTTTTAATCACGTTCTATTGTTAAGGAAATATTAAGCTTCTCAGTGATCAAAATTAGTGTTTGTCAAAACTGCTATATATCCAATGAAATTTTTCCGATAAAGTGTGTGGTTCAAGTTTTTGGAATTTGTTATATTTTTGACAAACAAAGGGTCAAAGTAAATATTTTGTCAAAATTTTATGAAAATTAAACGAGCCAAATTAATTTTAGTCAAGGTGTTTGGTACCACCTTAAAGCTCTGTTGAGCTTATGTTGTCTTGTTTTGTTCTGTACCTATGGTGTACGATTCAGAGTCAAAAGTATAAATTAGTTAATCCAATGCCCCATTGGCATAAAGAAAATGTACTTTCTTCATAAAATATATAAATATTAACATCAATGATTATTCACCTAAAAAAATACGTTTTTACATAATCTGAGTTATTGTATTATATGTAAACTGTAAATTCAATTATTGAAGTGTGCAGAGAATAAATTAGAAGTAGCTAGGTGGAGTGAAAATAAGTGAAAAAATGTTTTCAATGTTCTTCTGCTGATTTAATTTTAATGAGAAGCATTTACTGTTTATACTTCTGCATAGAAAGTAAAACAAAGGATATAGGGTATCCATCCATGACATAATATCAGTAGATGCACAACAAAAAAACACACAAAAAGCATTAAGTATTGCATTGCTGTTTATACTTTTGAACATCTCGGTTTCAATCCATCGGTTTCAAAGAAAGAAAGGTACAATTGCTCTCCTTTGCTTTTTGTTTGTGTTAAGATGAAGCAAATGATGTAACAATTACCAACAAAATTTAATGCTATATTTATTACCGCAAATGCATATCAATTACGGCAAATTCCATATTGATTTCCGAAATTTACACAAAAGGAAATTTTTAGGCTAATGGTATGTCAGCCTATCTGATTAGCTACTAAATATAACAAAAAGCGCAAAACCTTCTGATTTAATGGCATTTGCAACATTGAAAAGACCATTTGCAATATTTGAATATCGCATTTGCAATTTGAAATATAGTTTGCAATAATGTTGTGCTTTTACATGATAAAATTACTTTTAACCTTATGCTACGCCTTATGTACCTACTTAAAATAAAGCTTTTGATATTATTTGATTTGATGATTGTTGTCTTTTGGGGTTCACGCCTATATATTGGTAATTTTTTTAGCTTCTATGGTTGCTTAGTGTCCTGACCTAATCTGTATACGTCGTCGATAGGATATACTGTCAGCGTTAGCAATCAGTAAGCCAGGACCCCAGGCTACTTCTATGGGCCATTCGGATATTTGATATTTCCGGAAACAATAAGATTCTCGGAACTTCCCGAAAATGTTCGATCATTTATATAGGTAGTTATCTATGTCTTTGATACGGTCACTCTATGGATAGGCTACCACGTGACATTTTTATTTTTCAACAATCAAAGTTTTTTTGTAGATCGTACAGTTAAGAAATAAAGACTAGGTTGCAGTCAAAAAATCATTTATATGTTAGAAACTATTTGCCTTTTGGCATAACATATGTGTTTTTAATTAAGCGAATGTTTATTAAATATCAGCAGAGTAAAGGTCTTCTGATAACGCAATTATATAATTCATGCTTTGAGACGGTCCCTGTACGTGTTGTGTGTGTAGTTTGTTGTGCATTGTGACAATAAATCCCAAAATAAACTGATTATTTCTGAACGGTTATTACGTGATATTTTGTATTTCAATCATAGCCTGGGAAAATGCCGGAAGCATGAAACGATATTTCTGGTTATAAATATTTATCTTAGGTCGGAAACTCAGTGGTCGGAAAGCAGAAAGATAATTAAACAAAAGGATTTTTCTGTGTAAAAAAAAAATTATTTTATTAATAGATACTTCCAGACAAAGAGAATTTTCATTAAAATTATTAAGTTTAAATTGAGACTAAATTTATCCTTAGAAGAATATAATTAGAAATGTTATGTATACGTGTATTATGTCCCACTGGTTTGAACAGTGAATACATTTATGAACATTAGATGCAACATATGACCACCAATGAGCAGGGATGCGTACATTTCAAACGGTAGTGAATGAAAAAATACTTAATTTTTTATAAGTAAGAAGATTTTGTATGATTGCCAATGAGACAACTCTCCATCCAAGTCACAATGTATATATAAAAAGTAAACAGTTATATAGGTCATAGTACGGCCTTCAACACGGAGCCTTCAAGTTGGCTCACACCGAACAGCAAGCTATAAAGGGCCCCAAAATGACTATAGTGTAAAACAATTCAAATAGGGAAAACCAACGGTCTAATCTACATGTATATATAAAACGAGAAACGAGAACCACTTATGAACCACACCAACAAACGACAACCACTGAACAACAGGCTCCTGACTCCTCCTTGCATGGTTTCAATTCACAAGGATTTTAAATCCATGCATCTCACAAAAAACAATTAATATTTTACAATAATCATAAAAAAAAATAATTATTACGTTGATTATTTTATACTGTTTTAGTAAGTAAGTAGTAAGGTTCTGCTCATATTTTGTATAGCAATATATTCATATAGTGGAAAGTAAGAGTTTAAGAAGATATTGATTTGATAAATAAAATGTTCATCAGTAAATACTTGACGTTTGTGTTTATTGATATTATATTCTAAATTTTCGGAAAGATTCATTAACAGGAATGTATATTAATAATTAAATTTCAATTCTTTTTTTTTTCAATAGTTCAACCTTATAGATTTTAAATCTTTGCAATATGGTACGCGTTCACACAAATTCCGGATAAAATGGCAATGAATCCGGAGTCAAAACACAAGAGGTAGGTAGTTTGACATCCGAATTCAACTATTATGCCAGGATTAACATATGTGATGATGCAAATGCGTATTCTTATCAAGTGTATCAGTGCGTATGCTTTCTGTTTAGTAATACAATTTCTTGCGCAAAAAAAACATGTGCATGCATAAATATTAATTTCACTCGCGAATGTGAATTTTCGCTTTTCTTATCTAAATTCAGGACACGGCAGTAAAAGTTTGACATGTGACTTTCAAGCATGGTCATCATTACTTAAGGTATTGTGACCTCTAGCTGTTTCTCTTTTCTTTTTCTTTTCTTTTTTGAGTGACTGACCTATTATAAACTTTGACATTTTCGAAATGCTCAGGATTTCCTACCCCAGGAATAGATTACCTTAGATGTATGCGGCAAAGCTTTTGTTTCGAAATTTTGTGTCCTCAATTCCTTTCAACTCCGTACTTAATTTGGCCTTTTTAACTTTTTTTATTCGAGCGTCATTGATGAGTCTTTTGTAAACTGAACTCGCGTCTGGCGTACAACATGTTAATCATGATATCTTTTTATATCTACATATCTTTTTATATTAATTGGTTCTTTGGAGAGTATGTTCAGGTTTCATAAAACTTCTGAAAATAAGATATTTTTCAAAAACTAGTTTTCCTGTAGAATATTTGGATTGATTTAAGTAACTTCAGAAAATCCTTAAAATTTGAGATGTTTTGTGAGACCAAAATACTAAGTAATTGTCAGTGACCGTCAGTATATAAGAGGTCCCAATGAAGCTGGTGTGTTTAATACTAGTCTCAAGATAGAACTTGACTGAAATATACGAAACCTTCTTACAAGTTGCATGCCACAGGGTTTCACTTCACATGGAAATTGGACCTAAAATTCATCTATACAACATCAACCATGAGTACAGACAGCTTCAATAACGAGTATAAGAAAAATTGAAAGCTACCCGAAACAAAAAATGAAGATATGATAGAAAAAATAAATGCATCCAGATTATAAAGCAAACTGAGTGCTTAAATTTATATTGCGATTGGTTTGAGCAATTTGCTTTAGACGTTCGGTTTGCTGAAACTGGGATTTGCAAAAGGCCTTTAAGAAAAAATGATGTACACTCCCAATCTGAGATTACTATAACACATAATAGTCTCACTCCCAAGTAATAATAAAATAGTCAAGCCTAAAAATGTAAATTCAAATTGTAGCAGTATATATACACTTTTCTATTCACAACTATCCAGCTTTGTTATTAATTATTTCAAATCAAAAGCAAACAAAAATTCACATTATTCAGCAACATTTTTTTGGTGACCAGTCAGCGATCTCGGGTTCACGTATTGCATTTCTTTTTTTTAAAGAAAGCAGCTTTTCTTTACATTTTGTAACCCGAATAATCCAGTCGTTATATTTCACTCACTTCGATCGCTACATTAACCTCTGGAGGACTATGACCGTAAGGCGGCGCTGTAATTATTCAAGTTATACATTTTGTGGTGATTAGTTACACGACAATACGGCGCTCTTTTATCTTAAAGACTTTAAACAAACGTACGACTGGTTCCGTATTGATTTGCCATCTGAGCCAACTGACGTAAAAAGAAACAGATCAAAAAGCGGGAATTAGAAAATGTCAAATCCACTGTTCACGTTCAGACCCACAAAAGATAAATTACAGCCGTTCGAGAAACGTTTTTCGTAAGAATATTTACCAAAACTAGTTTAACCGCATATTTTAACTACAAATTACTCACTTAGTATACCTTTTTTTCATTAATTTGAACAATTTTGTAAACATAAAATTTGGTTAGATCACAGGAGTTTGAAATCCTAGCAATAAAGGTGTATAAATATGCCAAACTCGACTATCACAGTACAGCTTCTTCTCTCACAGTAGAGCTTCTTCTCTCGAAGCTCTACTGTGATAGTCGAGTTTGGCATATTTATACACCTTTATTGCTAGGATTTCAAACTCCTGTGGTTAGATCCTAAAGGCTAAAACATATCATCTTATGAATATTTTTCAAAAGATCAATACACGGTATTTAGAAAAGATAGACCACCAAATAAAAAAGGCCAATGTCATGGAGGCCTACTCATAGCTATATCAAATAATTTTTTATGTACAGAAATCAAAGAACTAGACACAGGATGTGAAATGATATGGGTAGAACTATTAATATCAAATGCACGTAAATGTTATATATGTGCTTATTATCGACCTCAGCCAGATGATGATACATCTTTAGATTTGCTGAATGAATCAATAAGTAGAATAAACGCCAGCTCGAAGTCAGCCATAATTATTGGTGGGGACTTTAATTAAGGGAACATCAATTGGGAAACAACAAGCGTCATACCTGGAAAAACAAATCAAAAACAACATCAGCAATTTTTAGAGACAATAGATGACTATTCATTAGCACAAGTTGTAAACATACCAACTTGAAATGATAAAATATTAGATCTTTTGTTAACAAATTATCCAGCCATTATTGAAAAAACTGAAACCATGCCACCATTAGGAGAGGCAGACCATGATATTGTATATATAGAATGTTTATTATCATTAATAAGATGCCAAACCAAGCCACGTAAAATCTATAAATATAAAAATGCAAACTGGCAAAAAATTAAAGAGGATAAAGATCAAACATATCAAAAGATCATGCATAAAAAGGATAGTGAAGATACAAATACACTTTGGTTAATATTTAAAAACTCATTACAAAACACTATGAGAACATACCACAGAAAATGATGAGAAACAGCAAAAATCTACCTTGGATAACAGACAGCCTTAGAAGACAAATGAAAAAGTACAAGAAAAAATATCAAAAGTACAAATTGAAAGGCAAAGGGAAACAAGACCAACTCAAAAAATTAAAACATGAAATACAAAAACAACAAAGAACATCTTATTGGAATTATATTGAAAATATGATATGTGGTATACCAGTAGATGACAACCCTACTACTATATCAAAGAGCTTCCCCAAAAATCTGTTCAGTTATATAAAAACACAAAAGTCTGAAAGCTCTAACATACCACCACTTCAAAAAGAGGGCTCACTTACAGCTGATTCAAAAGCTAATATTTTAAATGAACAGTTCAAAAAAGCATTCACACCTGTAACAGATGATCCAATACCAGATAAGGGCGTCAGTAAACATCCACAGATGCCTGATATTAAAATACAAAAACAGGGCATAGAAAAACTTCTAAATAACATCAATATCAACAAAGCAGCTGGGCCTGATCTCATCCATGGAAAAATTTTAAAAGAGTGTAAGACATCTATCACTCCCATCTTGTCAATCATATTCCAAACATCACTAAACTCTGGAAAGATCCCAGATGACTGGCGTCGCGCAAGTGTATGTCCAGCATTCAAAAAAGGCGACAAACACGACCCTATAAACTATCGCCCCATATCATTGACTTGCATCTGCTGCAAACTATTAGAACATGTTGTAGCTAGTAATATAATGAAACATCTGGAAAAAAATAAAATACTATATGACTTACAACATGGTTTTCGATCATCTCGCTCCTGTGAAACTCAGTTAATATCATTTATTCAAGATCTTGCAAATTCAAATAATAAAAACATTCAAACAGACATCATAATAATGGATTTTGCAAAAGCATTTGATAGAGTTTCAGACCACCATCTCATGTATAAAATCGGTTTCTACGGTATTAATTGCAATGCATTACATTGGATTCAAGATTTTTTAACAAACAGAACACAAACAGTAGTCCTTGAAGGTGAAACATCATATAAAATTCCTGTAACATCTGGGGTACCTCAAGGCACAGTACTAGTGCTTGGTCCAATTTTATACTTAATATTTATAAATGATTTTGAAGAATACATTGAACATAGTACCTTAAGATTGTTCGCAGATGACAGTATTATTTATAGGGAAATTAAAAAACCAGATGTCACATATAAATTACAGTCTGACTTGGAAGCGGCCCACAGATGGGAGCAGGACTGGCTCATGCATTTTCACCCTGATAAGTGCAACATTCTCAGTGTAACTCAAAAACGCAAACCTTTAGACTTCACTTATAAATTACACAATCACTCTATAGAAAAAGTTGACTCTACAAAATATTTAGGCCTAACTCTTCAATCAAATTTAAAATGGGACAAACATATCGATAACATGACATCAAAAGCAAATCAGTCTCTTGGATTTATTCGTAGAAACCTAAAAATAGCCTCACCTAAAGTTAAATCACATGCATTTAAAGCTCTTGTCCGACCAAAACTAGAGTACTGCTCAACTATTTGGGATCCACATCAAAAACAGCAAATTTCACAAATCGAAAAAGTTCAGAGAAGAGCAGCCAATTCTCATGCAACCGCTTCCATAACACCAGCTCAGTTACTGAAATGATGACAGACTTAAATTGGTACCCACTTGAAATTAGGCGTTTCTGATACAGACTTGTCTTCTTCTACAAAATTATACACGAAATTGTTGCAGTCCCTACATATAACCTTTTGATCCCACTAGACAATAGAACTAGACATAGCAATCCACACTCATTTAGGCAAATACAAACATCTAAAGACAGTTATAAATATTCATTTTATCCACGAACAGTTATAAATTGGAATCATCTGCCACAACAAATAGTATCATGCAGTACGGTACAGGGATTCAAGAGTATGATCTCAGAATCTGCATCCCCATTTTCTATCCCTAACTATTTTGTTATCAAATGTATATAGTTTTATCTAAATGAAATTTTTCAAATGTACATACATTATTTTGATTTTTTGATTTTGTTTCTTTTTATTTTTCTTGCTACAATGTAAATTATAAAATTTTATAGTCGACGCCCGGCGAATAATCTTCAATAATTGAAGGATCGCTAGAAACTTAAAGAAGAAGAAAAAAAAGAAAAAAAATGTTGTTTATTTTCGAAACTGTACGTTAACCCATATGAGAGGGTAGGAATGCCCTTTACCGTCAGTCGTCAAACAGTCATTTTCGGCTACCGTAAGCGTCAAATTGGTTATTTTTAAATAGTGCACTGCAAAAACCAGTTAAGTTTTAAATTTTCTAAAACATACAATGCATTATAAATATTATTTGATTTAACTAGGGCATGCTACATATGTCTTAAAACTTTGCCAGATGCACAGGTTTGTCTGTACTCAGAGTGGAAGCAAGACAACTCTCCCCACTGGCAAATTGCCCCACACCAAATCGCCCTACTTTTTCACCAACTCGCCCCACTTATGAAAAAGGGTTAAATACCGTTACATATACTCCTGCCAACTCGCCCCACTTATGAAAATGGGTAAAATCCAGATGAATATATAATTAAGGTCTGCCAACTCGTCCCATGTAAATGAAAACTTATCTACCCAGAATACCAAAAAATAGAAATTTAATTTATGATTATTATTGAATTTAAATGATGTTTCACTTCTTAAAATATAATTGTAGATACATTATTTATTATTATGTAATTTACATATTTATTGGAGACTAACTTTATTCTTGCAAGTTTAGTTATTTGCAAAATAATTGCAAAGAAACCTGTTAATTGTATCATAATCCGATATATTTTCATAACAATTTAAGGATTCCAATCTAACATCAATTTGTTTTTATAGCAATTAATGGATAGGGTTCTTTTGTCAAAATTATAAAAAAAAAGAATTGAAAAAAAACAAGATAGATATAAGAAGATGAGGTATGAGTGCCAATGAATCAACTCTCCATCCAAGTCAACATTTAAAAAAGTAAACCATTATATAATTATAGGTCAAAGTACGGTCTTCAACACGGAGCCTTGGCTCACACCAAACAGTAAGCTATAAAGGGCCCCAAAAATTACTAGGGTAAAACCATTCAAACGGGAAAACCAATGGTCTAATCTATATAAAAAACAAGAAACACTTATGAACCACATCAACAAACGACAACTACTGAACATCAGATTCCTGACTTAGGACAGGTGCAAACAAATGCAGCGGGTTTAAACGTTTTAATGGTACCAAACCTTCACCCTTTTTCTAAAACAATAGTGTAACATCACAACATAGAAAGACACACTATAAAATATCAACTGAAATAGCTTAATTGTTGGCATGACACGGGTTATGTTCTTTTTATATATGTTATGATGGTATGATACTAAACCCCTAACAGGAAGGATTGTGCCTGATATTCATATGATGAAGACATAATCTTTCAATCAGTTTAATTGAAGTCTGGAGCTGGCATGTCAGTTAACTGCTAGTAGTCTGTTGTTATTTATGTATTATTGTCATTTTGTTTATTTTCTTTGGTTACATCTTTTGACATCAGACTCGGACTTCTCTTGAACTGAATTTTAATGTGCGTATTGTTATGCGTTTACTTTTCTACATTGGCTAGAGGTATAGGGGGAGGGTTGAGATCTCATAAACATGTTTAACCCTGCCGCATTTTTGCGCCTGTCCCAAGTCAGGAGCCTCTAGCCTTTGTTAGTCTTGTATTATTTTTAATTTTAGTTTCTTGTGTACAATTTGGAGTTTAGTATGGCGTTCATTATCACTGAACTAGTATATATATTTGTTTAGGGGCGAGTTGGTAGGCCATAAATCAGTACAGTTTAATTCTTTTATTCATAAGTGGGACGAAAAGGTAGGCCACAATTCAGTACAGTTTAATTCTTTTATTCATAA